CGGATGGTACACCCTTCTGAACACTGTTGAGATGACTCTCCACCTTACACACTGCTGACTGTAGCATCCTTCTGGATGGGACCTGGAGGCACTGCTCTGAAGTAGGTTTACGAGTCCTCCCTGAAGGGAGTAAGCAGAAAGTGGTGCTAGAAACTTGAGTACTCCCCACAGTGTACTCTGTTCTGTCTGCTATGCTACGCAATCTACGTAAGGTCCGCCTGGACCCTTCACTGGGCACATTCAAAAAGCTACTAAAAACCTGACTATTTAAGCAGGCCATCTCTGAACAAACAGCTGTATGACAGATACAATAGTATTTGCTAAAATGTCATCCATCACCCCACCATGCTTGTCTTTAATATTTTATGCTTTTAACTGTAATTTATTTTACTGTACTTGTTTTACTGCACTTTATGATATTTGATTTATGCCCCAATTGTATTATTATTATTTTTTATATGTGTTATTTTGTTACTCTGTTGTTTTATCTGTTGTAAACCGCCCAGAGTGGGCGGTGTGTATGTATACACACACACCACCACCACCATCATCATCATCTATACACAAAACCACTGGGAGAGACTGTCATAAGTTTTTTAACTTATTCCACCAGTATGCAGATAACATCCAACTCCACGAAGAATTTTTGGCTCTAAACCAGTGCCTGGTATCAGCAATGGACTGGTTGAGGGCAAATAAACTGAAGCCCAATCCTGACAAAGCAGAGGTGCTCCTGGTTGAAGGCAAATCAGAGAACAGGGGTCTAACTCTTTCTAGTTGGGATTACACTCCCTTTGGAAACTCAGGTTTGCAGCATTGGTGTGTTCTTGGATTCATCCCTGAATCTGGATGTCCACACCTTAGCAGCAGTCAAAAATGTGTTTGCACAATTAACAGTAGTGTGCCAGTTACACCTACTCTTTGATATGACTGATCAGGCCATGTTGATGCATGCCTTACATTCCACTTGGATTACTGCCATGTGTTCTGCATGGGACTACCTGTGGAAAGTGTTCAGAAACTGCAGAATGTCCATAAAACTGCAGATAAACTGATGACCAGAACTGGTTAGATTTAAAACTAAAATTCCTTGTTAAAACAGCTTCACTGGGTATTGATCCATTTCCAGGCACAATGCAAAGCATGAGTTTCACTTATAAAGCTTGATATTGGCTATCTGAAGGACGACATCTCCCCACATGAGTCTGTCCCATTTTAAGATCTTCAAACGAGGCCTTTTTCTTGGCTCTGCCTGTCTTGACAGGCATGCTTGAAGGGAAAAAAAAGATGGCTTTCTCCATGGCTGCAGAACTCCTTTCCTGGGAGACAAAGCTGGGCCCTCCCTGCCATCCTTCAGCCAGCAAGCTCTTACTAAGTAACTGTCTGTGGAATAAAGATTTTTAATGGTAGGTATTATATCTAAACCTTTTAAAATGTGTTTCCCATTTGTTTTAAACAGTTAATATTCAATAATTTTAATATGCAATATGTTTAGTTGTTTGTTAGTGCTGTAATTTACTGTCTTTTTTAGTGTCAACATTTTGCCTTTGAAATATTTCACAAGCTGGCTTGAACTGCCTTATTGGGAGAAAGATGGTGAATGTAGGTATGAATGAATGGCTCTGTCTGCCAGATACAGTGATTTTAACCATTGGACCTGCAGGTATTTTGCACTGTCCCACCCATCCATAATAATAAGGGAAAGCTGGATTCTCAATGTGTTAAAAATTGAATAACGGTATATCTGTCCTGTATCAGAAGACAAGTTTTATACTACTTTGGCACAGCTCCCTCCTAAGGAATCCTGGGTTTTGTAGTTCAGTGAGGTACTGGAAAGAGAGGGATTGAGGATTAAATCTGCTTAACTTTGTGCACCAAAAAGAAGGATGGGCAATATTAGACAACAGTAGGACCCTCTCATCCAAAGAATCATTATGCACTAATTCACTTATTCATGGTCTAGAAATATTTAAAATATTTTTTTAAAAAAACAGAAAAAATATTTCCACATGTAGTCCCAGACCCAGCCACTAGAGGGAGACAGACATGGTGCTATGAATACAGTACTTGTTAGAGAATAATACATAATTAAAAATATTTTTTTAAAAAAACAGAAAATATTTCCACATGTAGTCCCAGACGCAGCCACTAGAGGGAGACAGGCATGGTGCTATGAATACAGTACCTGTTAGAGAATAATACATATCATTCCTTCTAGTGGCCAGTTCTGGTAATGCATGTGAAAAGTTTTTTCCCTTGTAACATGTTATCTATCTATCTATCTTCCATGGTTTTCAGCATCCATGGGGGTGTTACTACTGTATTTAAATCCAGAAACAGGTGTTAGCATTTGAGTCCCAAAGGACTTTGTCAGGCTGAGTGGTACAGAACTGGTGGGTTGCCAAATAAATAGAAAAGTCCCCTAAAATATTTTGGCTAGATGATATTTTTGTTTAGATCACACTTTGTTTAAAACAAAAATTAAGGCAGCAGCACTGCAGAATCAGTTTGGGTTGCATATTGCCGGTTTCACCCAAGACAATGCAGATTTCAGTGTCCCTCCAAACCTTGGCAGACTGAGAATAACAATTTCTCAGCTTGACCTACCTCATGCTTCTTGTTGGAAGGAAGTGAGGAGGGTGGACAGTCATATATATTGTTTTGGGTAATCTAGAGGAAAAGTGGGATGTAGAAGTAACAATGTGTGATGAAAATAATAATAATAAATTGCTACTCTTCATTGGAGGCTGCCTGCCAACAGGAGCAGAGGCAGAGCAGAGTGAAAAGCCTTAATTAAGTACCACCATCATCAACAAGGATAGAGAGAAGGATCAGCAAGAAAGATCAGGTGGGAGTAGACAGAAGAGAAAGATCAGAGGGAAAGAACACTGACATGAAGTGTTAAGGAGTTTCTAACCCTGGTGAAGCTGGGTGCTTCTATGTTTAGATAGAAACAGTTAGTCATGGTATAATATATACTTGATGGCAGGTTTCCATGTCAACTTCCTCACTGAAAAGAATAGTAGCTGCAGTGCTGCTTTTCCTTTACGCAATCCTTCTATTATGGCTATTATCCATTGGTTCTGCACATCGACTTTTCAATCCATGCTACCGTCTGACAGCTTGAAGTTTCTTCTGTGGCCCTTCATCCAAATGGACAGTATATAATGGCACCTATGGGATGACTTATGTTTCCCCCCTCCATCTCCCCCCATTATCTTTTGGCAATATACTTTTAATCCTGGAATGTTTCCAGGATTAAAGAACATTGAGCACCACCCTATGGGGGATTATTTTATGTGTAACACCATGTGATATGGAGGACCTGTCTTTAAGAGACAGGCTAAACTGCCAAGAACAGCTCCCTCTCCATTGTGAAGGAACTGGATTCCCTACAGATACACCCAGGGAGAATCTTGAACCACTTGGTGCTAGACCTCCCCCTACAATGAAGCATCTAAGCTGCTCAATGTGCTGAATTTCTTCAAGCAGTTAAAGAGAGAGAGAGAGAGCTGCTTCCTGGTAGAGGGAGGGGCGAGTGAGCAGGTGGAAAGGCAGAATGAATTGTTGAATGGAGAGAAAAGATAACCAAGAAAAAGAGTGAATGAGGAGGGTGAAGTGAGTGAGCAAGCCCTGATCTTTCCTAAGAAAGACAAGCTGAAGAGCATGCTCATCTGCAAGGAAATATTCCCTAGGAGTGACAGCCTTCTCATGAACAAGACCCTCTTCGTGCGGAAGGCTCTGCAAAATGCCTGCAGCTCCCCCAGGGTTGGACTCTGCATTTTCAGCTTTGTGAGAAAGAATACTATAGGGAATGTTGTTAATTACTGGCTCTTGCCATTAGCAGCCCTTTCCTTAGACACCTTTGGCCTCATTTGTGCCTGAATTTAGATTACTTTTGACCCTATTTCTGAGTTATCCTTGCCCAACTTACTTACTGTCTGGTTGGATTCTGGTGGTTTAAAGTCTGAAGTGGTTGGATCCTGTCTTTGGATCACTTTTACCTGTTCTCTGGTAGGACAGAAGGAAGTAGAGGATGAACAGAAGTAAAAGCACTAGGGTAAATGAAGGGAACAACCAGAAAAAAAAGTTTTTGAAAATACATTAAGTAGGAAGGGAAAAGAGCAAGCAGAGGAAAAAAAGTGTGCAATGGACAGGGGGACTATAGAAGACTTATACCCCTGTCCTCTAGTTCAGTGGTCCCCAACCTTGGGCCTCCAGATGTTTTTTGGACCTCCAGATGTTCTTGGACTTCAACTACCAGAAATCCACCACAGGGGTGGTGGTGAAGGCTTCTGGGAGTTGTAGTCCAATAACATCTGGAGGCCCAAGGTTGGGGACCATTGCTCTAGTTGATTTCTACCTGTGTGGGGATCAGTCTTACTCCAGCTACAAAGGCTGTAACTGCTGAAGTTCTCTAGACACTATGAAAATGGGTGTTCTTTTTGTGTGAGAATCACATAATTGTCAGGCTGCAGTGGACCTCAGGGTCATCAAGATAACCCTCCTGTAGAAGCAGAAACACCACAATCAATGCATCCCAGATGGCCTTCCAAAATCTGTTTAAAAATCTCCAGTGGAAGAGATTCCACCAACTTCTGAGGCAGTGAATTTCTCTGTTAAGAAGATCTCCCATTTAAGCCTTTGAAGGCTTTGAGATCTACAGGATTTTCTCCATGTCCTGTTACTGCTAGAGACGTGTTTGGTGAGGATATGAAAGGGTTTTTTGGTGGCTATTCTCAGATTATGGAACTACCTGCTAAGAGAAACTAGGTTGGCCAACTAGGTTGGCCATCTTCCTCATGTTCTCCTAATGACTCAAAAAACATTTATATTTATGCCGACCATCAGCAACTGACTAGCAAAGACTAGGCTTTAAAAGATATGCAGTATTTTTATGTTGTGTGTAACAGTTATTGTATTTATTTCAGATTTATAAAATGGTTTTAAATGGCAGTCTGTTTAGAACTGCTAACTGGTTTAATTATTTTTCAATACAGTGTTACCTCGCATTACGACCCCCTCGATGCGTTCCAATGGGCTGGAAACTCACCGTGCAGCAAAGATCCTCCATAGGACGGCCATTTTCGGTGCCTGTGCAGCGAGGAATCCGTCCCAGAAAACAGCGGCGAGTCATTTTATTTACCTGGTGGCCATTTTGAAACCGCCAATCAGCTGGAGGAAAATCGTCGTTTTGTGAAGAATCGGTTCCCGAAGCAGGGAACCAATCATTGCAAAGCGAAAAAACCCCATTCAGACCATTGTTTTGCGATCACAAAAAGATCATTGTAATGCAGTTTCGTTGTAATGCGGGGCAATCGTAAAGCAAGGCACCACTGTATTTGTAAAGTACTTTATAACTGCACTTGTTTCAATTATATTATCAGCCATGTTGGACCCCAGTTTTTGGGAGGAAAGGAGGGCACATATAAAACAAATTTATACGTCAATATGGATGACTTGATTTAGGAAACTAAAATATGGCAGCCCTGTGGGAGAAAACTCTTGGTGTCTGGTCAGGATGGGAGGTTCAGGAGAGGAAAAGGCTGAGTAAGTAAGAGGATAGGGCAAGAGAAAGGTCCATTAAAAAGAGAAAAGAAACTGAGCTGGAGATAGGGAAGTGAAGAGAGGTCAATGGGGTGAAAGATTAATGAGAATCTGGACAAACCTGAATACTTTCACTGGTATTGGTATAGCATGAAGAAGTCTACACACATTTTGTTTTTCTATTGCCTTAACTTCTTCAATAGTACGTAATGTTTGAAATTACACACTTTTCCTTTAATTGCACAGGTACAAGCAGCACGGTTTTGGTGCTGCTTGGTTTTATACAGTTTTATACACAGATTTTTATACAGTATATGTACAGCATATATAAATATATTCAATAATTACTGTGCTGCTATTCATCTCCAGGAAGTGGCCTAAGAAAGGTGGTTCTTGGACTTAACAAGACGTGTTGTTGTTGTTTGCAGCAGCTCAGCCAGTCTCCTCTCCTGGCATGGCAGCTCCACATGGTGGCTGGGAGTCTGTTGCAGGTTGGGGAAGATGTGTGCATAGACACGTGTTAATCCGCTGTTTATGCTTTGCAGTTATGTTTTGGGATCATAACATGACATGGCTAGGGCTTGGACAGGAGACCAACAGGGAATACGAGGGATCTCCAGGTAGAGCAAGAAAAGATGGTCCCTAAAAACTGTGGAAAGCTACAGTTCATCAGAGTTGACAGTATTAGGGTAGATGGACCTAAAGGTGACTTCTTATAAAGCAGTTTCTCATATTCCTATGCAGTTACCCTTGGGAGTTCAGATTCCTTCCTTTGGTATATTTTTAGGAAATACTCTCATAGTAAATCTTCCTGAAGTCCTTAAAGTGTTGACATAATTAATCTTTCCATTATCCAGTCAAAGTCTCATGTCTTGAGTCAAATCCTGTCCTGGACCAATGCCAAATTCTGGCCTCATTCCAAAGTCTATTTTCTGCTCCTGATGTCATATCTTCCTGACATGGTTCTGTCTGCTTCTGCATTAGTTCATAAACAGTAGTTGCCAAATGCCATAAAAGTTTTGTACTGTGATAATTATCAGCCACAGTTAAAGACACAGCCTCAATAGACAAAGAGCAAAACTATAATTATAATGCTTATTAGAATTATATATTCACTAAAGGACATGGAAACGGTGTGAAGATGGAGAAATATAAAAATTGCTGTGAGGTTAAACAGTACCCCTTAAAAAGGAGTTAGAAACAAAGAAACAATGGTATAATACAAAGGTGTGCAGCTGTGATCTTCCAGATGTTTTGGACTGCAACTCCTTTAATACATCACTAGCTTATGCTGACTAGGACTGATAGAAGTTATAGGCCACAAACATCTGCAAGATCACAGTTTTTCACCTCTACTATGCAGCTTACATTTCCTCATACAAACTTCTATTTTACTATTGATTGCTTAATGCATGCATGAAAAATGTAATAGATATAGAGTAAAAACACATGCTTTGAACTTGTGAACTCTTTACAGTAGAAAAGAGTGTTTGTTAATTTCTGTCCGCCACTGTTAAACAGAAATATGAAATAAAGTGTTGATGCAAAGCACTACATCTGAAAATAATATGTTATGAGGGATGAAAAAGCAGCTATTTTAATGCTGTTAACAGTAACCTACAATTAAGGCAGACACTCCATGAACCTGCCATGCAGACATTACATGCTTTGCATCTGTTAATGGCACTGTCTAGATTTTGAAGATCTAGTGCAAAGAGTAACCATGTGTCAAGCTGATCCCAGTTTATAGCAACTCTCCCAAGATTTTCTAGATATGAACTACTCAGTGTATTCCCAATCTCTTTATCTGGTGATTCTTTGGGACTGTGCGGCTTGTCCAAGATTACATAGGGGCATGGCATGTACACATACCTAGGGATCTCAGCAGGCACCTCTCCCATGAGACAGAATAGGGATTTGAACTCATGGCTGCTTTCTCTGCAGACAGGCATGCCAAAACGTAAGTATGTTTTAAATTGTCCTCAGAACACAGATCCCACTAAAGGATAAAATCTTCTTTGCCATAGAACTACTATTCCCTCAGCACAGGTGTAATTGGTAAAGCTCTACCTGTAGGAAAATCCAGTCCTAGTGCAAAAGCAACAAAGCATCATGTGAAATGCTTCCCCCCTCATATGTTAAACAAACAAGACTTTAATCCTTTCAGAATCTTCCCCTGCCTTATTCTTCATACAGTGTTTCACACACATCCCTGCACCACTATGCATTCTTTCACTATTGTGACGTTTGCCCCTCATGGCCCCAGTTTCTCTTCCAAACACAGAGAGCTAATGAAGGCAAAGAAACAAAAACAACACCTTTTCACACACTGCCACCAGTTCATTTCTTTATCAACGTTCTTAGGAAAGACGAAGAGCCATTCATCAATGTCTTTTGAATAAAACAGGTTTATTGATTACAGATGTTTCTATAATAATTCATAAGTATTTTCTTCAGGTTCATAAAGTGTCAATAACAATCTTCTATGTTATCTTACAGGTTCCTATTCACTCATCAGACTAATCACTCCTCAGATTCCCCAACTATCACTCTCTAACTCTAATTCTGACTCTATTCTCCCTTCTCCTTCAGGCTCCGCCTTTTTTACCTCTCTGGTGGCCCCACCTCTCAACCAAATCAGCATAGAACATGAATAATGCATGACTTATTTTGCATAACAAGGGGTGAACACCACAACTATCTTATATTTTCCAAATATGCCATGAACACTCCCATTCGGAACAAAAATTGACAGTTTCCTTGCAGAAGTACAGTGCCAGGCATATCCAAAAGGAGTGCACCCAAGATTTACAAATCTTCAATCTCAAACTCAGATTACTTTTCAAAATGTCAGAGGGGTAGCCACATTACTGTCTGTTTATTTGTATCATGTGTAGACTGTCTTTCTCCTAGTGAAAGACCCAAGGTGGTTCACAACATCAGGTTAAACTAAAAACAGAATACATTTCTGATTAAAAAACAAACCACACTACTAATTAAAAACCCATTAACTAATTTAAAAACATTTAAGACCATAAAAAACAAACTAAAAAATTGAAGGACCAGCATCCAGGACTTAGATATTAATTAAAAGCCTGCCTCAGGAGGTAGGTCTTCAACTGGATAACTTAGCCTTTCAAGGGAGAGCATTCCACAAACTGGAAGCAGCCACAGAGAAGGGCTTCTCTTATGTCCCCATCAAATGTACTTGTAATTGCAATGGGATCAAGAGAAGGGCCTCCTTTGTAGATCTTAGGTAAAGGTTCCCCTTGACAATTTTTGTCCAGTCGTGCTCGACTCTAGGGGCCATCCCTGTTTCCAAGCCATAGAGCCAGCGTTTGTAATGTCTCTGGATATTTTTAAAGTAAAGTCAGATGTCAGATAGCACGGCTCATATAAGGAAAATGAGTGGAACGAGAGTTAACCAGGCAAGAAATGGGTTTGGTACTGAATTTAGGCTAACCTGATTTGACAGTGGTCTTCCCTTTAATTGGAAAAAGAAAGCAATTATAGAGGATTTTATTTAGAGGTGTTCTGGGGAAATTAATGGCTTAGGTTCTGTGAAGCATGTGTTTGGATGCAGCAGAAAACAAGGGTATCAGTTTTATATCTTGGGACAGATCTCACCCCTGCCTATATACAGTAGGACCCCTTTATCCACGGGATCAATATCTGCTGATTCTATTATCAATGGTCTGAAAATATATTAAAAAAATTAAAAGCAAAATCCATATATTTTTAAAAAATATATTGGGTTGTAACTAAAAAGGCTTCTCCCTTCAAGCTTCCCTCTTCTGTCCAATTTTCTCCTCCCACAGCAGTCTTTCCCAGTGCCCTGGCATATCAAAAGAGTACAGCAAAGGATTCCTCTTGTGTGAGAATTGCATTAGATGCAACTAAACCAACTATAGGTAAAGGTTCCCCTTGACAATTTTTGTCCAGTTGTGCTCGACTCTAGGGGGCGGTGCTCATCCCCGTTTCCAAGCCATAGAGCCAGCGTTTTGTCCGAAGACAATCTTTCCGTGGTCACATGGCCAGTGTGACTTAGACACGGAATGCTGTTACCTTCCCACTGAGGTGGTCCCTATTGATCTACTTGCATTTGCATGCTTTCGAACCGCTAGGTTGGTGGGAGCTGGGACAAGCGACAGGAGCTCACTCTGTCACGTGGATTCAATCTTATGACTGCTGGTCTTCTGATCCTGCAGCACAGGCTTCTGCTGTTTAGCCCACAGCGCCACCACGGCCCTGCAAGATCTTAAGGGCCCGGAAAGCTCATATGGGGAGATACGGATTTTTAAATTGCCTGGACCCAAAGTATATGTTACAACAGAGTCAACAATCCTACTCATACTGCCTTGCAGAAAGAAACACCAAATTCAGTGGGACTTTCTGCTAAACATACTTGTGCTGTCAGAATCTTTTTACTCCTCAAAGATAGTCATTCAATCAGTACTGATGGTGCCATTATGCTGGAAACTATTACTGCTACCAGCATTACAATTTCTTCAAATAACAACTTGGGTCCATCACAGACACTTAACTATAGTTATTCCTTCAAGCTAAACTGTTTTCACACCAATTACAAGAACTGCAGCTTTAAGAACTGATGCTTGGGTTTACTCCCCACTCTTCTGTTTTGTCTTTCAAACTACAGTATAAGCCTAAGGGGAATGACTATTTTAAAAAACCAAGCATATGCCACTGTAACTACATTTGGAGCCAAGGAAAAGAGCAAAGACACTTGATATTTTACTATACTGTTTTGTTGGACTTTACTGTTGCAACATACTATCAAGTTACTCCTCATGGCAACTCTAACAGTGTTTCCGAGGTTCAAGGAGTGGTTTACCACTGCCATGCTCTGTAGTTTGCACAGCCAAGCAGGGACTTGAACTGAAGTTTCCAAATCCTAGTTTCACACTTTATTACATTACACTGGCTCACCGTGAGACGGTACAGGAAATTTTTGCAACACTGAAGAGAGATTACAAAATAACCTGGCACTGAACATCACAAAGTTTGCTGCCAGTTAAATGCCTGCAGTCTGACTTCCACCTTCTTCCGAAGTACAGAAGCTCAATTTAGCACTAGATCATTCAAGGCAATCCAGAGCTTTTATTTTACACTCACACTTAAGCTAGCACCAGTTGTCTTGCTCTTCAGGAAAGCAGAGCCTTTTGAAAGGAAGTCAGCACTCCCTCGGTCAGGCTTTGCATCCTTAACATGATCATCACGTGCCATCAAGTCAATTCTGACTTCTGGCGACGCTCCTCAAGGTTTCCTAAGAAGCCAGCGTTCAGAACAGCTGCTGGATAATTCAGTGGTTTAAGCAGGCAAGTTCAATATTCCACTGTGCCTCCTCGACAGGGGCTGGACTCCATAACCCCTACGGTCCCTTCCAGGCCTATCATTATTATTAGGCTTTGCCATCCCCTGTTTCTGAAGGGAATCCTGGCGCTTGCCCGAGGCCACCACACCAGCTGGCTCTTCTCTCCGGAGGCACAGCGAGGAATTCAACGCCCAACAACGTCTACCCAGCGACTCTTGAGGTAGCCTTACTTGGGAGTAACCTCCCCACCCCAGACCTTCTACACAGAATATGGCGCAGCTCTTCGCGCCTGCCTGCCTGCCGTCCCTTCCTCCCCATAGAGACGAGGAGGGAAGGAGCCAAAGCCCCGCCGGCTTGCCGGGCAAGGAAAGGAACAGGGACTCCCAGCGGCAACCGTCTCTGGGGCGGGGCTTCGGGGGGAAGAGAGGCGGGAATTTCGGAGCACCTCGTTGCGCCGCCAATCAGAGGCCAGAGGCTGGGGCCGAGCGGTTCGCTCTCTTCCAATGAGAAGGCGCCGGCTCCTTCCCAGCCTTTAAGGCGTCACCCGGCGCGGGAAGGCGGGGCTTTCCCATTTTCTCTTTTCGGGAAGGCAGGAGGGACTGTGATTTGGGGTGTTTCTTCCCCCCCCCTTCTCCCGTGATCCAATGCGGCGAAAGGCGGTAGGGTTGCTGCAGGAGCATCGCCGCTACCGAAGGCGACGGCTCCATCCGGGTTCTGGAGGCTGCTGTGTTAAGCTGGCGACGCCGGTACAGGTAACGGTCGTGGGACGCTGAGGGGTGTGTGTGTGTGATGGGCGGGCGGGAAAACTTTTTTAAAAATAACCTAGAGAAACCAGCCCTTATCTAGGAAGAGAGGCGGTTCGTTTGACGTGCGCGGGAAATCCACCGAGGCTCCTCCTGTTATCACTGAGGCGATTCGGAAGGATACAGGGTGGAGGCCTGAATGGCTTCTTCTTGACCCCTGCCGCGGTCTGCCTCTCTTCTTCCTTTAGGCATAGACTTGTCCCCGTTTTTCATCTTTTGGATCTAGATCTTTTCTTCATGCTCTCTCGACCTCCCTTCCCCCCCCCCCGTTTTCGCCGCGCCTTCCCTGACAAACCTGAAGGTCCGAAAAAAACACCGCCCACTTGGCGGAACCTGATTGGGCGCCGGGCTCCGCTCCACATTGGGGTAGGTTGAGAAGGCTGCCCGTAGGGTTCGCGTCACTTCCGGGAGCAAGGTAGCGATGGCGGGTGAGGGAGAGAGACCTTGGC